AAATTGTCTGGTTGGAGTCATCAGGATTCTAAAAACCAACAGCTGGAGACAATAGGTAACAGTTGACCTTAGCGGCCTATTCGAACTTTTGGGCCTGCTATTATAATATCTACTTATTGCATCCAATCTACCGTTTACTCCATTTATTTATCACCCAAATATGAATTCTAAAAGGATCATTTACTCTCGTAACTTTATTAATCATTTACGACCCAATGACTTTCATATTCCCAAGAAATCAAGGAGGAAGCATCGTAGTGGTTGGCAGAGAGCTAATAAACGTACACCAATACACCTAACTACGGTCCCTGTCATAATGAACACTAACTGCCGCTCTCTGCCTAACAAGATAATGTACCTACAATCTTTGATGTCCACTGACACTTATCATAATACTGCCATAATCACATTACAAGAAACGTGGTTACATGAACTGTATGATGACAATCTCATCTCACTAAAAGACTTCATCCTATTTAGACAAGATCGACAATGTTGTAATAAGACAAATGGGGGAGACGTTGCAAATTTTATTCACTACAAATGGTCCATTTCTAATCATGTTTGCTTCTCATTCTCAAATGACTTCATAGACTGTATCACCGTCAAATGTCGTCCCAAACATCTCCCCAAATATAAACATATCTTTGTTACAAACATCTACATTTCTCCAAGTTGCTCACTATCTGATCTTCCAAATTTTGCTGATGAATTCACCATGCTTGCTGCTGCCAACTTCGACAACTCTCTATCTGTTATTACTGGTGATTTCAACTCCTCAGACTGCTCCTTCCTTGAAGCACTTGGTCACACAAACATAGTCGAATTTCCCACTCGACTTGACAAAACACTTGATTTAGTTTTCACAAATGACGAGGGAATATATGCATCTTTAATGAACTGTAATCCCATTGATCTTACTTTATAAATCGATATTGTTTAAAAAACACTAATATTGTTATTGACTACTATTCTAGAATATTCTATGTATATAAACATATGCATGTAATTGTAGAGCCAGCAAAGGAAATTATCGAAAAGGACATTATTTGCTCAATTATTTTGTGTTTTATGTAGATATCAAAACTTTTACGTTGAAACTCAGTCATACCGTCAATAGATTTGACCAATATTAAACTTCTAGAACTCGGTGGACTTTTTCAGCGCAACAGAATACTCCTAGTTTTTCAATAATTTAAATATATCCTGTGTGGGTTTGCAGGGATTTCATTCGTTTCAGGATTTCATGGTGAACTGACCGAACTGATGGAACCTCAGTGAATGCGTACTAAGGGAGAGTCTCAAACTAGGCTGACGAAACAGCTGTCCAATACTCACAGGTTTTCCAGTGTTCGTCAAACCGATGTCAGCTCATGATGAAATCCTTAAATGTTCCTAGTAGGATAATGAGAGAAAACAAATTGAATAGTACTTCTTAATAGTCGACTTTACAATATAACCTTAATGCAAAGTTACCAGACTATGACGTCAGTCAGTTACATTTGAACTCAAGATAAAGATATCCAGGTTAGGGAAGTGTTTTGACTGACGAAGAATGGTAAGAACAAATGTAGGATAAAAATCTTTAGAGGGATAACACAACGAAACGACGTTCTGTAACCGATGTCAGCTCATAATGAAATCCTGCAACCAATCAATCAAATCCCTACAAACCAATACTTGAATATCAATGAGATGCTCACTAGCGATTGGACATATTCAGGTAGCTAGTTACATGGGTTCTAATTGGAAGTCGTGACCAGTGAGGTACAGCAGGTCAGGTGTGAGGACAAATAATCGCCACGGATGACATTGGCTGGCGGTTGCGTTATGTCGTGAATTGGCAGAAGTTGGCATTCATGGGTTTACCATTGGATGGGGTCCCCTTGTAACCAGAAGGTCATGGATTCAAACCTTGGCGGGGTGCGTATTGATGAAGAGTCCCGAACTAGGACGAAACATCTGTCCAGTACTTCCAGCTTGTTTTCCAATGGTTCTCTAACTGATGTCAGCTGATAATGAAATCCTGTAACCAATCAATCAAATCCCTGCAAACCAATAGTTGAAAACGGTGTAAGTTTTTCCCTAATAAATGAATATAAAATTTTTTAACTGATTAAAAATGCCCATTAAAATTTTCAAAAGAATGGATACTGAACAAAGAATACTCTTTTCGATAAATTCATCATCAGGCTCTACAGTTACATATACACATTAAAGTGAATGAATGAATTAGTGTTATGAACAACATTAATGTTCTTTAAATAACATCGAATCAATAATAATATCAATGGATAACAGTTCAATAGCCACAACATAACAATGAACTGAATGTCAGAAGAATTATGAAAGATAATAGTACAAATTCATGAATTTATAGTCTCTACTGAAGGCCAGGGCAGTCGTAGTAGCTGGCTGGACTTGCTTCTTTTGAACACAGAGCACTGGTTGATAGAGGCGAATTGCAATAGCCTCTGCTGTTCGATGATTTCGGCAACTTATCAGGCACCCGGTAGATTATATAGAAGGATTCTTCCACGCTGTCTGCTTTGTGGCCGGTTTGCACCAGATGGTCTAATATTAAACTGTTAATGGTTTTAACTGCATCTTTACTTAGCCATAGTGGGATATGTTCTCGAGCACGAAAAATCAAGTTCCTAGAGCAGTGGCCAATATAACTTTGAATTGTATTAGGTGATGAGCAAACGGTGTGATGCGGCAAAACCGGAACTAGCAACCTCCAAGTGACTAGCCAGGAGTTTATTTATCAGTTGAAGAAGAAGCACTTAGTTTAGCAATCATCTCTGTACTTCTGATTCGACCACTGCTATAATTCAACGTGACAGTTTACTTACAGTCATCACTCACCGATATGTTAACCTCAAAGATATCCCAAATAGTCTCATCAACAAGATATGCCGTCAGCTTCATACTGTCTAAACAATTTATGCGACTACACAAGTAGTCACTTTGTTTGTACTAGTGATCAAGTATTAATGCACAATTAAGGCATAACAATCTTTTTTCAGTTTAAAGTACCTAAAGGGAAGACAGGAATATGACAAGACTCTCTCTCTACTGTCACTAATGGGATAGTGGTGGGCGTCTGAATAAAGGTAACATCACATGTTAGTACACCTATTAGTCATAGTTCACAACATGGAAGTTGTAATTAATTAATTGATTAATTATCACAATAAGTTTCCACGTGTTGGTTTGCAGGGATTTGATTGGTTACAGGATTTCATTATGAACTGACATCGGTTAGAGAACCGTTGGAAAGTCCACAGGGAATACTGGACAGCTAGCTGTTTTTTCCTAGTTTGGGACTCTTCAGTAGCACGCACCCACATAGTGGGGTTCGAACCCAGGACCTTCCGGTTACAAGGCAAGCTGGCTCGTAGACTATTCAAACACTGGGGCATGATTCAGTGGCCAACCAACCCTAGAACTGCAACTTCTACAAATTCCTGATTTTATCGTGGCGACTAGCCAATGTCATCGGCGAGTATTTGGTCTCTTTCATGACATGGCAGACTGCAGTGGTCATGACTTCTCACCAGAACTCTTGGGACTTCGTCTTGTTGCCAGACCCCAGCGACCATCAGATTAATTTTCAAGAGTTTGTTCATAGGGATTCGATTATTTTAAATTTTGACCACTGGCTGATACCATTCGGAGGACCATTGAAAACAAACAGGGAGTACTAGACAGCTAGTTGTTCTGGCATAGTTTGGGAGTCATCGGTAGTACGCACCCACAGAGTGGGGTTCGAGCCCAGGACCGTCCGGTTACAAGACGAGTTCGTAGACTATTAGGCCACTGGGACTCGATTTGACGACCCATGAATTCCAACTTCTATCCCAGTAGCTTAACAGTCTACAAGCTCGCCTCGCAACTGGAAGGTCCTGGATTTGAACTCCAGTGCGTACGTACTCATACAGAGTCCCAAACTAGGCTGATGAAACAGCTGTGCAGTACTCCCTGCAGGTTTTTCAATGGTCCTCTAACCAATGTCAGTTTATTTAATTGGTGGATGGTGGAATCCTGGATACGCATTTCGTCCTATTTGGAACTCGTCAGCTGGATGTACCTGCATTTCTCAGTGAGTGATGATGTTCCCACCGAGACTAGAACCCAGTGCCCATAGTTTCATACGCCACCACCAATTAAATACTAATTAAATGCCCAGACATCATCGAAGCATCTGCTCAAGAAGCCGACATGTCAACCTGAGACCGAGCACTTCGGTCTAATCAATCGACGGGAAAATCTAAAATTCAATTAAATGTCCGTTTATAATGAAATACAGGTTTTCTTAATAACTAGGCTTATTAAGAAATTATAAGTTTCCAGACCGTAGGTTTTACGAACTTCCTGGAATAATTTGAGCGCCAAGTCAGATTGATTCATTATAAAAATCCGAATAAATCTGCTGAAGAAGCTGTGGCCTACACAGCGAAACGTTCAGAAAAATCTTGTTTTGATTTTCTTAACACGCTGGGATTAATTTAAATAATTTATAATTATTAAGAAATTATACTTCACGACAGTGCCTGAAATTCTCCTTTTTTTATGCCTTCACGTTCCCCAGTGGAACAAGCTAGAGACTTGAAGTTTCGGTAGCAGTGGTGTTTATTTCTACGGGATGGGGTTGCTAGCCCCATGCTTAACCTTTCCTCTTTACCAGCTTTATTACTGGCTTAGCGAGGTAAAGAAGTGCGTCGGTGGCCGGAGATCGAACCCTGGACCATGTGCATGGTCGGCGAGCGTCCAAACCGCCATGCCACCGACGCACGAAATTCTCCTTACATTATGTAAAAAATCAAATCAAAATTCCTGTAACCTAATGATAATTGAGATACCCAATAAAAATTTCATCTCTTCTTCCTATCCTATCTCCCAACTAATCATAATAATAATAATGACCAATCGCGACTGCGAAAAATATGAACCAATCAAAAGTGTTCTTTACACACACACACACACACACTTGAGTTAATTTTTAAAACAAGAAAAGCAGGTGACATTTTAATAATAATTTTTATCACCATTGTGTATTCGAGTTATCTGTTTACACAGTGATTTACGTATATAATTAATTAACTTTCTAAAATGTCACACATAACAACCACTTATAGTCCAAATACTTCAGAATCCGATTTAAATGAGCTGTCGTTTTCATTCTTCGACGATGACGAAGAAGAAGCAGAAGGAGGCGGAGGCGAAGAAAACAGTAGCAATGAAGAAATGGGCATGTTAGGAGAAAAGCAGTCAACTAGCGGTGTGAACAAGCAGCCAACAAACAATAATCTGTCTTCATCAGGAACATTATGCACAGCCTCTGTGTCATTGTTGTCTTCAGCATCAAATCCACCTGGACAGTGTATAGGAGAACAGAAAAGCTGCTCTATAAGCAGTCAGATGAATGAACAGTGTGATAAACATAAGAAATGCGTTAATTCTGTTAAGAAAATTGATCGTCGAATGGCTAAACAAATGACTGAGCGGAAACGTCGTGATCGTATTAATGCATTATTGAATAATCTGAGGACTCTTATACTGAAATTATTACATAAAAATGTAAGTATTGTGTAGTGATATTTTATTCGGTATCATTTTATTATTATTATTATTATTATTATTATTATTATTGCAGAAGTTGAAGTGTGATAGCCAAAGTGGGGGTCTGTCGAAGGGTGACCTTCAAGAACCAATCAGATTTAGGGAATGCTATGAAAAGTCATTCCGAATGTAGTCATGCCACCCTTTTTGGATTCGGCAAGGGTAGATACAGCATTCTGCTTATTGCCTGGCGAAATTCAACAATAGCGTCCCAGAAGTGCGAACGCTCCAATGACCTTGAACGCATGCTAGTCGTCGTTGGCTAACGGCACCTGTCATTATCATAGCTGAAATATCAACGCTATTTTACGAACTAAGCAGCAAATTTCACCCAGATCACGTTTTTAAGTACTGTTTGGACAATGTGTTAATAGCTCGTTAGGGTTAGGATCAGGGTCATAATTAGGATTAGGTTTACGGTCAGGATAAGGGTTGTAATTAGGGTTAGGGCTATGACTAGGGATAGATTTAGAGTTGATGTCATTTATTTCAGTTTGTTTTATTATCCACATTTTCCTGGTAAGTAGTCGTCGATCCTCTTACTGGAGACCATAGTAATTCAACCGACAGCTTTTGGGGAAGACTGCACAACAGGATAAGAGAGAGAGATAAACGATTCACAAAAACAGCTCATCTTCAGTCACCACCTCGGTGAATATATGTAGGGAAACTAGGCTAACTTAGCAACTGATACTCCTCATAATGACTGGGATGTATTTTTAAGTTATGTCAGAGAAAGATACCCTGTTTACAATGTGTTTTCAAGTATTTTCTTGTAAATATTCGTCATTTTTTGTGCAAAAGTCACTTATTTTTATGATTGGTCGGCTGAAGGTCACTAGTGCGTTCGCATCCCTTGGGACGCTATTGTTGAACTTTGCCATCCATGTAGTGACTGGGAGACATTCTTACAACACATCAGCGACAATTACCCAGTGTAGTATCATGTTTTCAATTATTTGTAATGTTTTTTTTTCAACGATTACGCGACTTTTCGCAGCTGAATTCTGATTGGTTGTTCACGGTCACTGTAACTGACTGTCATAGTTTACCTTCGCCAATTTTTCATATATCCGGTTTAGACGTTGCGTCATTTTGATCGTACGTGTTTGGTGTTGATTCGATTGAAAAGAGATTAAATGATAAAACGCTCTCCCCATCTAATTATAGTTACTTCCAATGCTTTCATGCAACAGGGATACATTTCAATCGCCTTTTTTTCTAGATTATTTAACTAAGCAGGGTCAGTAATTCTAGGTCTAACTAAATTTTTATTTTCCGGTAATTTACCTGTCCCTGGTCAGCTACTCTGACCTATGTATTTCACCCCACTGACAGTCATTACATGATATTTAGTAAATTATCTTATTTTCCCTAATTGTGTGGGTCCTTAAAACGATAAAGTTGGCCTCCAAGTTGGTTGGTTTAAATACCAACCTAACTCTGACTTTATTGAAGAATCAGTTAGGAATTTGGAAATTAGTCCCTTTTCAACGCTATGAAATTGCAAATTCACTATATCCCGACCTTCTGAATTCGGCTCTTTTTTTAAAATTTTTACTGTCAAGTCTATGGTCTTCTGTTGCCGAGTCAAAAGAATCCACTTTGTTAAATCAACTAACTTATAGCCCAAATAAATAGAAAACTGGTGAGGGGAGGGGGAGATTTTAGGGAAATGCAATATTTTGTTTTTGGTTATAGCTTGAAACCACACAGTATTTTTGGTACGAGTATGGAATTTTCAGCATGTCATATCGGTAGCCCGAATTTCGCAGGCCGACCATAGATATCAGGTGTGCGTCGGCAGGGGATCGAACCTCGGACCATGCGCAAGATCGACGAGAGTCCTAACTGCTATCCCTCGAAAAATCCCCAGACTTTTCAAAATCCCTCACATCCATAAATTTGCCCCAAAATTTTCCCTAAACATCCGAGAAAACCATAATTGCCCCCAACTTTTGTTATTCGGGCCGTAAATTTCGTGAATAATAATTTATGCATGATTGTCCTTGTGGCAATTCTGGTTAATTTAAACACAGTTCTTTTCATGATAAAATCAATTGAAGATTGAAAAGGAGGGAATTCAAACGATTAGTGATAAACTGTTTCCACTTCTTATGTATGCATAGTAACAGTACTTATTTTCAGGTATGAAATTTTTAGAAATACACTGAATTAAAACCACGAAAGAGATGAAATGCATTTCCAATAATAGATGTCCTATTTGTCTTGGGTAAAACCTTCAATAGAGACTATCAAGTCACTCTAAAGTAAAATATGGCTTAAAGTATCCTTCTGGACAAGAGTGAAGAGTAGAATATCACAGCCAAATGATCCTGAGCTAATCAATCAGATCGCTCATCCTTAGAAATGAGTACTGTTCATAATCTTCATTGCAGGTTTCACCTTCATTTAGGACTAGGGTTACGCTTAAGGTTAGGTTGAAACTTGTAACGAAGATTATGAATAGCACTTATTTGAAAAATGCTGAGCGATGCAACTATTATTGTTAGGTTATATTCATCATGGAGTGGCAAAGTTAAACTTTAAACAACACTAACTACCAATCAGAGAATGACCTTGAACTCACCAATCACGTGAAGCAGGCATTTTTGTGTATGGAATACATGTACTTATGAGAAAAATGCATAAAAACTGTAGAAAAGTGTTACACAGGATACCTTTCTCTAACATGTGATAAAAATAGCTCTCAGTTTTAGGTTGAAGTATCAACAGAGTATAATTCCATTGTGGGCAAAATTTGTTTTGATAAAGTTTCATAGTATTATACAGCAATATTTACTGAGCAATAAATTGTGCTCGAAACGTCATCAGTATTACTGTATAGCAATGTGAAAATTTATCAAAATAAGTTTTACACAAAATGGAATTATACTCAACCACAGTGCACAAGTACTATTCTCATAGCAACGGAGTAATTTAACCACATTCTATTCATGTAATTATTTAGGTCTTCTAATCCTAACAATAACCCTAATCTTTCCTGAACCTAACCCTTACGTGAAAATATCCCTAAACTAACCGTAATCTAACTCAAACCAACCCTAATGTCACCTTTATTAATTTAACCTAACCCTAACTTATCCTTGGCTTAAAGCGTAACTTAATCTTTCTCAAACCTAAGCTGAAACTTGCCAGATATCCCATTTAATAACATAACACTTCTATGAGCATATTTTATGTGTGGTGACAACATTATTTGCCAGGTTTCACTAACTTGTTCAGTTGGCGTTTCAAGGTCATTTGTGTGGTAGCACTCCATTGGTAGTTAGTGGTGCTTAAAGTTTAACTTCGCCATCACCTCGGTGAATACACGCACAGAAACTAGTCTCACATAGCTACTGATACTCTTCATTATAACTGGGACGTATTTTTAAGTAATTTCAGAGAAAGATACCCCATTTAATGTGTTTTCATGCATTTTCTTGTAAATATGCGTCATTTTTTGTGCAAAAGTCACTTATTTTTTATGATTGGTCGACTGTAGGTCACTCGTGCGTTCGCATCCTTGGGACGGCATTGTTGAACTTTGCCCACATGACAGCTGGATTTGAGTGAAATTATAATTTAAGCAGTAGCTGTGGTTTCTAGTGCATTTATCAGAGTGACTGGTCACTAATCCTTAGGACAGTGATTCAAAATAATTTCTTTTTAACCCATATTTTCTTTCAACTTCAACAAATCAATACATTAATACTGCTGGAATCAGTACGTGACATTCGACAACCAATTAGAATAACATTTGGTGTAACTAATTCAAATAATGTCTTCTATACTGTGAACTCGCTTAAGAGGTTTGCAGGAAAATCCTTTGTCTGATTACTAGTTGCATAATTCACATGCCACTCTACTCCGAGGAGCTGGAAAACCCGGATTCCTAACGTTTGGTGTACATGAGCTTCATAGTCCGGACGGATCAAATGGCTTATGAAGCTATTTTGGACACTGGAAACCATTGGAGAACGCTGCTCCACTACCTTATAAGTCAGAGGCTCGGTAGCGAGGGGGAAGGAGCGACCCCATAAGATAACCACTTGCTTCGGTGTATGCTTCCAGGTAGTAGTACCCCAGCATTCACACAAACCATGAGATTTTGTGTGGCGCATCACCTGGTGTGCCCATTATGTACCAAGCTAGTGTTTTAAAAATAATGATAGTAATATAATGGATTAATTGTGTGTCGGTGGCACAAAGGTAGAATGCTCGTCGACCACTTATGTGGTCCGGTGTTCGATCCTCGGCCACCGACGCACTCCTTTACCTGGCTAAGCCAGTAATAAGACTGGTAAAGAGGGAAGGTTGAGCATGAAGCTAGCAACCCCATCCGGTAAAAATTAACACCACTGCTACTGATACTTCAAGTCTCTTACTTGAAGCCCTATGTTCCACTGGGAACGTGAAAGGAATAAAAATAAAGTAGTGGATTAATTGGAGTTGCTAAAACCTAAATGTGTGAGGGGAAATCTTGTCAAGAGAAGTGATTTTCTACGGGGGCTTGGATTTCGGCCCCGAAATATAGGCGGATCACAGAACACCATGACATATAATCACCCTTTCCAACAACTTTTATTTTTCCATAATTCGGTTGGGGCCTGGCTGCTTACAGCTTAACTTCACCAAAATCTCCACCGATATTACTTCAGCGATTGGCTAGTGTGGTAAAAAAAAATTTTGCGTTCATGTTGTTATATTATAATTTTATTGGACAATCTTTAACCAGAAGTCAGTGAGAAACAACACTCGTGTTCACTACTCACAATTAGTGTGCCTAGTTGTTCTTCACTTAATCCACTGAGACACGTCAGAACCTTTTAACATTGGCCTAATTATCAGTTATAGAGTTATTTTTATTGTTAAGTACCATTAAGAAGGTATCCAAGGGGTAACTTGGCGGAATAGTTAACAGTGCAGACACAGTTGTTTATATATACGCTAAC